GCCACCTCTCACCCTCTGAAAGAAGCCAAGTAATCTTTTCACATGTTGTCATAATTTCTCCCAATGATGCATCCACCATTGTCTTTCCAGTATCACGTGAAGAGATTCTAAAAAAACATAAACATGAATTAGGATCATTTGACTCTTTTCATTTTAATGACTTATCTGTCCTTCAATTTTGAAAAGATTTCTTACTCGCATATAAGTTCTTGATGTTCAATAATATATTTTAAAAGTACACGTAAAAACTGGCGCCTTTGCTTGAAGCTACTCTTTGCCCACACTTTCTGAGATTTCCTAACCTGTGCCACTCGCTCCTTCACCTGAGGACATTTTGGTCAATCATTATTAACCAATAGGAATCTAAGAAAACAATGCAGGGGCAGCCTTGTCTTTTACTAACCTCATCAGGTTTGAGAGCAGGGAAGTACCCTAGGTACTTCATTGTTGCAGGCTCATAGCATTGGACTTTGTCAGTTTGTCTTCTTGAAGGTATCTAACATATGAAGATTCCAAACAGAAAATGGTAAGTGTTCCAAATCTTGAAAATCCATAGTGTTTGAACATGGAATAACTCTAAGGACCAAGGTTTATACATTGATAAAATAATATTAATGTCTGGAAACATAAATAACAAACTTACATAAATGAAACTATTCTCCTTTGGATGCCCATCATCTAGAACTGTTAAACATCCAATATGTGTAAAAGGTATTAGAGTCTCAAAATACATACATCAAAAGCATCCACATATGGAGGAAAAAGCAAGTGCACACATAACACAAGAGATAATCAATGAAGCATCACAATCAAAGATCAATTAGTTTTAGCCTAAAAGAGGGTCTAAAACATGTCTTAGTTAGCTTGAATGATGCCTACTAAGAAGCCGATTTCTGTTGCCCAGATATGCTTCCAAAATTTCACAACTCTCTACTTGTAATAATACTTCATACCATAGAAAATGGTAGATTATATCGAATCTCAGAGGTCAAACCTGTCGATTTCCTAATATAATTCTTTTAACCATGTTGTTGGACAACACCACATTTATTTTTTGATAGATTTTATTTCTATTTTCAGGAAACAAAACTTAGATTTCATTGCAGAACTCCAACAAGTGTTAATTTGATCTACAAAAGATGGCAGGAGAAGAAAGACTCAAAGATATAGACCCTGATCAAACGATAAAATCCATCTGCTTAAAAGTTATAACGTTCTCACCATCAAATTTTACTCCAAAACTGACAGAATTTGTAGTAGGCAGAAATCATTTAGCCTCTCTTTTCAGAATGAAGTCAGTCAAATTTTCTAATGTACCTAAAATAAGCAAGTGTTTACTATCACCCTATATCATCTAGACATCTAGAAGTAGAATCTTCCATTGAACACAATACAAAACCCCAACAAAACTCAATATATGCATATTAGGGCATGGCTCTATACACAACCTCAAACATACACACTGTAACACATCATAGATAGACACATTCATCTAAATGAAACGAGTGTTCTATGACATTTTGCTACTCATCACAACGAGTGCACGCATTTACATCAAATATATGCACTTCTACCAACTGTATGTCCCAATCTGCAAATTTACGGGAAATGTACACCGAAATTCAATGCTGAACTCATGTTAGTAAAATAAACCAACTGCTACAGAGAACGCATACCATCGGAGGCGTCAACGTCGATTGAAGGCACATTAGAAGGAATGAGCATTAGTAGAAATTTACAGATCACAAAGGCGAATGCTATCACGATCAAAGCCCACCAAAACGCCATAGTTTCAATTGATTAGAAAATTTCAACCCTGAAACAAGCAATCGAGTGAAGAAATGGAAACTAGGGCTCGATTCTTTGGTTTACATGAATCTAAGCTCATTTCTGTTGCTGCGAGAAAAGAATATATTCTTCACTTGTTGATACTCCGCTTGACTCTTATTGGGCATTTAAAATGCCCCTGCTTTTACTACTTTTTACGATCAGGCCATCTTGATTCCCATGATCTATTTCTAATGCGACAAAATCGGAAACATGCCATCTTTATTTCTTTTAACTACATATCTAACCACTTATAAGATACCATTTGTATTTTGAGAAATTAAATAAACTCCTACCTTTTCTTCCGTGTTATCTTCCTACCAGTAAAATAATGACAACTGTCATATTTTGATAAAATTAATTGTATTTTAGGACATTTGTCATCATTTCAATGGGTAAGAAGATATTTAGAAAGAAAAGTAGGAAGATATTTAATTTCTATTGTATTTTTATATTACAAAATAGCCAAAAGTAGAATGGTCATGTTACAAAATACAAATAATTTAATAATTTTTTGTAAAACAAAATCATAAAAATAACATTATCATTTCATAAAATTATGATTATGCTTTGTAAAAAGGTTATATATATATATATATATATATATATATATATATATATAAAAGATTTTGTAGCGATTATAAAACAATTGTTTGAAAAAAAAAATGAAATGTTTAAACAATTATTAAGAACTGTTAAGATATGACTTTTATTTTTTATAATTATTAACCTTTTTAATAATAATCACCTTGGAGATATATAAAAATGATATTAAAACTACACAACCAAGTACGAAAGGAGATAATCTTTTGGGAAACAACCTCATAGGCGGTTTTACTATGGTGTCCGTAATGACACCTGCAACGTTGGTTTTTCCGGATGCAGTGTAAAAAATTTCGATTTTATTTCTACTATCGTAACACTACTAAAATTTTTCGTGACACCCCTACTATAAAATCTTTTGTCCGCCCCTAAACGACCTAAAAGGGTAATATAGTTTTATTTTGTATAGGTTTAGTCGTCATTGTTTTTTTTTTTTTTTGAAAAATAAGTCATTGAACTTATTGTTTTACACATTCAGTTTTTATGATCGACTACTTCAGGTTTAGTTCTCAGTTTGTACACATTTAGTCCATAATATCTTTTTTGCAAAATAAATTTTTGTTTTTTTGTATACATTCAATCCTTATGATGAGTTTTTTGAGGTTTTACTCACATCTCATTCTATATGGGACAATCATTAATGAGGTGTTCTCATATGTGGCTCGTTTGGGAAGTAGAATCATGTGTTACTTGTCTTAGTTTTGGTAATAGCATTGTACTTTTGATATTAACTATTTATTGTACAATAGCAATTATATTTAATACCAATACAAATTTCATTCAATGGAAATACCAACTACATTACATTAGGTGAAGAAAATACATTAGCCATAATAATTTCAGTTGTTGGTAATATTATTATTAATAGCAAAGTATTTTTAGGTTACATACAAGAACAAATTTAAGCAATTATTAACATGAGAGTTTATTGAGGATCCAATTTGTTAATTTATTAGAAATTAATAAATTAATAGAAGTTCGGGACGTTTCTCTTTAGTCCTTGCGACAAAACCCTAATCGTTCTAGGGTTTTTATATTTGTGATCCAAGGTGGTTGAGGAAAACTCCTTTCTCGGTGTCAATTTGAAAAGAACAAAAAACTCATTTTGCAAAAAAAATGTTCAAAATTGACATACCAAGGAGTTATGGAAGGCACTAAACTTTTTTTTTCTTTTCAGGGTGTTATTTTGTCTTGGAAGTGCAAATTCAACCTGGGTGAAAACAATAACAAAGAATCACGTTGTCGGCTATAGAGATAGAAAAAACTGAAGCTGAAGACATATTCTTCTTGAAGAAAACTAGGACACCAATATTATTTGACCAATTCGTCAATTAGGTTAGTAATATAAGTGAGGGACAAACCACGTCTGTGGAGACCTCATTAATGATTATCCCACATAGGATGTCACGTGAGTAAAACCTAAAGAAAAACGGTCATTGGGATTGAATGTATACAAAAACAAACTGAGAGTTAGAACTTAACCTGAAGTAGCTGGTCATAAGGACTGAATTTGTACAAAACCACCAGTTAAAGAGCGTATTTTATAAGAAAAAAAAAACAATAAGAACTAAACTTGTACAAAATAAGAATTATATTTACCATTTTAGAGCATTTTCCCTAATCTTCAACGAGAGTTGTGAATGGTGGATATACTTGAAATTGTGTGATTCTCCTGGATATGTTGATCACAAATGAAAAGTTATAGTCAGTTGTAATTCGAGATGAGCTTAGGATTAGGCTATGACATCAAGTTAAAATGTTTTTAGTCAAGAGTATGAGAGCAACTATAGAGTAAGTGCGCAAGATGTTGGTTAACAATATCTTCCAATGCGATAAGTATTTATAGATTGGTATCGGAGACAATTTCTATCCATTTGGCCTAGGAAAGTTGTGATATCATGTGTTTTTTTACAGCCGCTTGTGGTTATCGCATGATCCTATATTGGTTGTAGGGGCCTTGCAACCACTACTACTGTGTGGTTATCATATGATCCCTTATTGGTTGTAGGGGCTGTGCAACCACTAGTGTGTTTATTTTATAACCGGGTATTGTGGTGCATCACAACCACTATTTTATAGCGGGGTATTGTAGCACATCGGTTGTATATTGGCATTGAGCATTTCTATAGTGTCTAAGCCCGACTAATGGACTGGTGATCATAACATTTGGGCCTCGAGACTGGAGTCTGTCTTATTGTGCTGGTAGACCACTAAGTCCCACTGGTGATCATTAGACTTGGGCCCAATGATGTTGGGTTTTCAGCGAGAAATCAAGCTTCGGAATCGGGTTGGTGCTTAGTGCTCTTCTGCCTTACTAGTTACTATTACAAATTAAGAACACATCCAAACACTTTACCTTACGTGTCATGTTACAATGATTATCTAATTCTGCATTTATATGCTTGTTTCATATCGCAGTCCTAAACACCCTCTAGGCAAGAATAGGAGGAGGCTTTCAAATCATATTACATAGAAAAAGTTAAAAAATGTTCTCATCTTTGCAATGTAATTCTATAAGCACATAATTACTAATAGCGATTCGTTAAAGGTTAATCATACATTAATACATATCTTAATACAGTAATAACTTGACATACTTCACATAGATTTTAAAGGTCAAACACTTTTTTCACATAACTCACGCTTCTCCAATACTCATATTCCAAAAGTCAACTTCATATTCAAGAACACTTAAAAAAGCCACTTCTGCTTTCGAGATCACCTCAGGCGACGCTTTCTGCAAGCAACGATCAGCAATCTCCCTCAAAGTCTTGCAGTATGTTCCAAAACCTTCATTCCCCCATCGTTCACAAGTCCCTTGTAGTTCTTCTGGGATCAAATTCCCTTCTTCAAGACAATGAGCAAAGCTTTCTTGATACACAACCTCAATGGCCCAAAAAACTGAAATTGCAACTGGGTATTCGACTTCTGAACTTGTTAGATTCTCCAGAAACCTGTAACAACAAGCAATTCAGTTGCTAATTGACCATAAAATACGTTAATGGAAGAATAGTCGATTATGTTAATACCTGCAATATTTGATGTTTGCTTTTTGTGGGACGACGCTTGTGAGAGAAACATGAAACTTGGAAGCTTCGTTCTTGAACCAATTGATCTCGTCGTTTAGAGACGCCATCCCACCGAGAATCACTTCCATATCCAAACCATCGCCGGATTCCTTCGAGGACTTCACTAATGTACTCGCTACAAACGGGACGAATGATCTCACAAATATATAATCCTGTCCCTGCGTTATACATCAACATGAATTTCAACGATTGGAATCAGGAGCGATTCATGCAATCTTCAATTCAAATCATACTGAAATTTGATCAGACTCAAAAGGAATTCGCAAAATAATTGGAGCAAAAAGCCCTAAAACAAACTGGTTTGAATTTAAACATGTTACTACTCAAATAAAATATCCGATGTGGTTTTGTTGCAGGTTTTGACAATAACATTACGATCATGTTGAGGTCAATCCCATTTCGTACAACTTTCATTTCAAGAATCAACAGTTGAGTTTTATAGAAGAAAGGGGGGAAATTACCAGCCATCTCTTGAAATAAGAGAAATCGACTGATCCGTCACGGATACTGCGGATAAAAGGGTGTCTGGTGGCGCCGTCGTAAAGCAAACGGTGCTTCCTTATCCACGCTTCCGTCACCGGAATCTTGCAGTCAACTCCTTCCGTCACTAACTTCTTTCCCGCATCCTCCATATCTTCCTTTTTTGTCCACCGCCTTCTGAGCAGAAACCGAGTTTTTTAGTTGATTATGATAGCCACCGGATGATCGTCGCCAATTTGAAGGACACTTGTGATAGCTTAAACGCAGCCAAGTCTCCGTCCAAATGACTCATCACTTCGATTCATCTTTCTACCGTACAACCAATTAAGCTTTTTATGATAACTATTTAAATTTAATAGAGGTAATATAATTTTGTTATTTTATTAAAGAGAAAATCGTAGAAATTTTTTTAAAAAAAATATAATAGAAACTTTTTCAAACACAAGCTTTTTCAAAAAGAAAATTATTAATTCATAGATTTTAATTAAGAGCTTTTTTAATTATTGTGTAGGTATTTTTGTCTACAACCAATTGAATAGGAATGGCAACGGGACGGGTTCGGGGCGGGGCATGGTTTCTCAAATCCGCCCCGATATCTTTCGGGTATCTTATCGGGGCGCCCCATTGGGTTTCGGGTTTTCCGTCGGGTTAACAACAATTCATAACGAAATCTTTATTCCGTTTTAGGGTATCCCAATGTCTTATAAAAAATACATGTTATAGCCTCCCTTTTAAATTAAAAATATGATGAATCACTTTAATAAAATAAACTGGACGTTATATTAAAAATTATTTGATTTAAGTTTAGTGTAATACGTCAAAACATAAAAAATGATCATTCACACTTGTTAATAATTAAAAAGATTGTCCACAGTAAATATTTTATCTTTGAATGCGTGCAATTAACATCAAAAGGATTCGAACATATATATATATATATATATATATATATATATATATATATATATATATTATATATATATATATATATAATCGGGGCGGGACGGGTCGGCGCGATGATAACCCACTCCCTGCCCCGAACCCGATAAAAAACCCGATAACGACCCGTTACCCGACCTGAAATGATCGGGTTTCGGGTTTCCCTGTCGGGTTTGTGCTTTTTTTGCCATCCCTACAATTGAAATTTGACTAACTTATAACAAACCAACATAAAGCAAGTTTAAAAAACTCTTTTATATATATATATATATATATATATATATATATATATATATATATATATATATATATATATATATATATATATATTTTGAACAGCGGAATCACATTAAAACGAAACGAGCGAGACGCTAGACAAGTTACAACATACAAACAAGGGAAACGAGAATTACACCAGTCAAACCAATTTAAAGAACTAAATCTCTCTCTCTCTCTCTATATATATATATATATATATATATATATATATATATATATATATATATATATATATTTCAACCAATTGAAAGAGATTAACTGGATATCATCGGTTGTCTTCATTGGGCTGTTCCTAAAACTTTTGAAAATTAAAGCATTTCTAGTCTTCCTTATGCTCCATAAAACCGAATATATGAGGGCCCATAGCAATCTCTTCATTTTCTTATTCAACACCAATGTCTTTACCACCCCCAAAATGTCAGAAACATTCATAGGAGTATATTTCAATAACATCTACCAGTTACATAACCAAATCCAAACCTTTTTTTGCAAAACTACACTTAAAAAATAGATGCTTGACATTTTCCTGTTCAATACCACAGAGCGGGCAAAGATACGATGGCAAAGTCACACCTCTAACAAGGAGGTTGTCTGCAACTGGGATCCTATTTAAACATAAACGCCAAACAAAACAATTAACTTTTAGATGAGCCCAACCCTCCCAATGAAAAGAAAACATGTTTGAGACCTCTTCTGCAGTAGCCATCAAGTTTCGCAAATTTTGAACTATAAAACCACACGTCTCGTTACCTTTCCAAACCCACGAATCATCTATACTTGTCAACACCACACCAACAACTTTGTTGTTTAAATCTGATAAAGTTGTTGCCTCCCTTCCTTTCCTTAGATTTCTCGACCACTGCCCATGAATTCCATCTAGACCTATGTTTTGAATTCTGTTATTAACCATGCAATTTTTCTGCACTTCAGTGCGATAAAGTTCCGAAAAAGCATCTTTTAACACTACATCATTGCACCATTTTCCTTCCAAAAGTAGGTTCTATTTCCCCGCTCCAAGACGTCTTACAAATAAGTCTTCCAAGTTAATTCTCCAATGTTTCATATCTTCATTTAGCTTGGATATATATATATATATATATATATATATATATATATATATAAAAGGTGTAAACCCGTGAAAACAAAAAGAAAAACATTATTACTAGTATATTTTTAAGAAACATAAACTAAATATAATTTTTGGAGATCCATCTCATGGCAGCGATCGGATCCTGCGTCCCATCAAACTCTGGTGGCATCATGTTGCTGAACTCACGGAACAACAACGAGTCACCTCCCCGTGGCCTCAAAGTAGGTAGGGTTGTGATGGTTGCGGCAACAGCAGCCTCGGTAACAGCAGCGTATCGATCATCAAACGTCTCAATCACGGTGGTCTTGATAGACCCGAACATCTCCTTGTATAGCCTCTTTGATAACTGTAGCCACCTCCTCATGTATGATCCTGCGGATCTCCTCGTCACTAGTACCACTACCCCGGGGTTGTTGCGGGTAACCACCATAGTGTCTCTGAAATACAAACACAAAAATCATCAGAGACTAGCTCGAGCACTCACGTCATTACCCACCCCTACATGCTCTTTAGCATCCTAAGGTTCTTACTTGGGTCGCATACAGATCAAGTGCTTTCAGTAGTACAGGCCCAATACTACCTTCCACACCAACCTGTAGTCGTCCAAAGTCCTCCTCCTAGGATCCTAATTCACATGTACTCTATCCCTCACGGATATCAACTACTCTCTCGGTAGATTCCTCGATGCTCATCTAGGTATCTCCCCTAGATTACTCACAACTCTCTCTAAAATATTCCTGCTATTTTTCCCTGCTCAGTACATACACAAAGCAAATAGCAGATCTGATCAAGTAATAGCATACCCTAGGCTAAGGCATCATGAATCATGCAACTCTAGCTCTAAATTCTGAAATACCTAGCCTATTCCCTAGCATGCAGCTCTAATATCTCATAAATATCCCATAATATAAACAAGTAGTGGTATTTTGGTAAATCATCATTCGGGCTCTAGCTGATTGTACACACTGCTTCGTCTCGTTATCTCTTAAAAACTCTTACTCATTTTTAGAAAAATCATTTCTTTTTAGAAAAATTTTCTCAAATCCTTAGTTTGAGTCCAGACATACCCGAGAGTACATCTGAATCCCTCAAACCAAGGCTCTGATACCAACTTGTAACACCGTGAATTTTCAAAGAAATTTTTTTCACTTATAATTCACATAAAAACTCAATGTCACATGTTCTCAAAACCACAATGTATCAATGTCAAACACGTGTAAACAAAACAACTGATAATATCCCAAAATCCACAACATAATCTGCAACAAGTGTGTACAATCAAGTCGACGCCTTCCCACGATCCTGAGAAGTACCTGAAACACATATCACACAACACTGTAAGCACAAAGCTTAGTGAGTTCCCCAAAATACCACATACACAAATAATAAGCCTCTCATGGCTATAGCTCGGCATGGACCCTCCGGTCATGCATCTCGGTGAGGACCCTCCGGTCTCACGACTCAGTGTGGACCTTCCGGTCATGTGTCTTAGTGAAGACCCCCCGATCTTCACAGCTCGGGTCGGATCCTCCAGTCATGTATCTCAGTGAGGACCCTACGGTCTCATAACTCGATTTGGACCCTCCGGTCCTACTCAGTAAGGCACATAATAGTATAGCATATATCACAAAGACAAGATGCATAATATCACATAACTCAATATAAAAACATAGGACCCTCCGGTTGATAACTCAAATAAGACCCTCCGGTCATACAATATTAACACTCAGGTAAGTATAGTGAGAAGACTCACCTCGTAAGCAAGTAGATCTAGTACCCCACGAACAGTCTAGACTCCGCCTACATAATATAATTATCTCTAATAAGAAATTTGTATAAACCACTCGAGATGCTAAGCTAACTCCTCTACAAATTCTTAAAAGGGTGAAAAGACCATTTTACCCTTCCATGGTCTCTAAGTTCCACAGTTGACCAAACCCTAAAAGTCAATGTAAGTCAACGCTCAAGTCAACAGTCCATGTTGACTAAACTCGTCAAGTGCATCTATTTGACTCGTCGAATTCCTTTGTTTTCTCTGAAGTATCGAGAAAATCCAACTCAACTCGTCGAGTTGTCTCATCAACTCGCCGAGTTGTAGCGCGTCCAGCCTATCGGGGAAAAACCCTAGCTTAATCGTCGAGTTGGCTCATGCACTCGCCGATTCCCTCTAGACCAAATCTCATTTCGACGATTCTAAACAGAAATAATGCCCCAAACTCTAGATCTAGTCTCTCAAGGCTGAAATACCACATAAAGTTGTAAGCTTTACGTCCATGCATGGCATCTAGGGCTCAAAATGACATAATAAGCTCTATATGGGATCTAGTGCATAAAAGATTGTCTCTAGCTTGATAATCTTTGGACTCAAGGGACCTTATTCAGTCCAGATCTGATGTTTCAACCTCATGTCATGCTCAAATGACTCAATACCCAAAAGATGGATGGGAGAAAGCCCTAAAACTCCCTAGAAAGAGATCTAGCAAAAGAAATGATCAAAGTGGTAGCTTTTTACCTCCAAACAGAAGCTAACACTGAAGAACACTGGATCCAAAATTCCCTCCTCGTTCCAAGCCTTGATGCTCTCCAACCTCCTTCCAAAAGTGCACTAGAACACACAAGATTAGCCTCTCTTTCTCTCACACAAGGATATATCTTGATTAGGGTTTATCACAGAGTGTTAGGGTGATAAGGGAGGCGGAAATGAAGGCTTAAGGTCCTTTAAATAGGACACAAACCCTGAAAATTAGGGTTTTCTCACCCAGCTCCTACTCGTCGAGTTGGGGTCCTCCAACTCGTCGAGTAGACTCTAAAAATCACGCGACATCTCCATCTCTGCTCGGCGAGTTGGGGCCTCCAACTCGTCGAGTTTCCCTAACAAAATGAATATAAAATAATTAATATTATACCTGGGAGTCGAGATGTTACAAAAATGTTTGAAGTTAGAATGCCTAAATAAGAAAAACCCGAAAATTACAATGTTAAAATATGAAAACAGAAAAACAAAATTACGATGTTGCTATAACATATAATTAAAT